AGGACAATTGCCCCCCCCATGCATTACATTTTCTCTCAATTACACTGTACATGTTCCCAATACATTTTATTTTTGTTATTTTTCATAATTTTTGTAGGTAGATAGTTATTCATATGATATTTAGTTCACTCAATAAAACTGAAGGCCAATTTTGATTGACTGATTATTCTGTTAATTAAAATTTTTTAAATGTATAGGTAGGCCTGTCTTTGATGTTTTTTTTAATTATGATGATCAGGTCAATACCTAATTTTTAAGAAGTTAACTTTCAATAAAACAATAGCGACAGAAAAGACAAAAGAGTAGGCGACACCAAAGGGAACATGTACTGTTCTCTTTATAATGGAAGCAAGACAATAGAATTTAAAAGCTATAGCTACAATAGCAATTATTGAAGATTAAGGAGACAAAACATTGAGGTGTTAAGGCGCAGGTATAACAAAAAAAGTTTATTTCAAATACTATTATACAAATTGATTTTCACTCTTGGTATCTTATTGAATGAACTTATTTGTGTACTCCATCATCTTAACCTACACATGTACACTGATTATTCTGTCAATCAACATTTTTAAAATGTAGAGGTATCTTAGATGTTTTTTTTTACTGCGATCAAGTCAATACCTATATAATTCTTACAAAATAATTATTTAAAATAGGCGTACTATTACGAATTGCCTTCAGTCTCATTGAATGAACTAAATATCATATGAATAACTAAACCTCTAAAATTATGAAAAATAAAACATTAAAATGTGTTGGGAACATGTACAGTATAATTGAATTGAGAAAATATAATACATAGGGGGAAACTGTCCGGGGGGCTAATGTCCAGGGGAAAAATACCGGGAGAAAATGTCCAGGGGGAAACCAGCCTGCTCCCGGTAGCCTAATTGTAGACCTAAATCTTAAAACTTAACGACGTGAATGGTATATGTAAATTTCAAATCATACAGCGTTGGAAGTGGAAAAAAAAATAATTAAAAAAAAATACAAAGAAATTGAGAACATATCTAATAAGCGTATAATACTGTATTAATTGGCAGGTAAAATGTGAAATTTCCAGGCCCGTATATCCAGTAGGTGGGGTGTTACGAAGAGTGTGTATAACGCACCCAACCAAATTTGAT